GGATCTGCTTCCGGGGTCTGTTACCGACTAATGTTTTGTTTAAATATTTTGGAAATAGAGAAATGAATATCTCTTACAAAGACTAAGTAGACTGCACAGGAAGTGGAATGGATGAAACGAATCTATCATAGGTTACCAAGGATGGTTATTATAAACATTTTGAAAATCGAAACACAAAAAGCTCTTGACTAAGACTAAATTGAAACAGAAAATGAATATCTCTTACAAAGAATAAATAGACTGCACAGGAAGTGGAATGGATGAAATAGACTGCACAGCAGGAAGTGGAATGGATGAAATAAATCTATCATAGGTTACCAAGGATGGTTATTATAGATGTATTGGAAGTCCAATGCAGTAAATAAAAAGTGTTAAAATTAATGATTAGGGATTATTATTACCTAATCGCAAAGATGGTAGTAATTAATTTTATTATATTTAAAGTAGATAAAATGATAATAGATAATTGTATAAATGTAAAAAAAGGATAAATTTATCTTTTTCATAATAAATTTATGTATTTTTTTTATCATAATTGTCTCATTTTCTTTTATCAAAAATAAATATTTATAGAATTTTTATAGTATAAATAATAACGTTTTATCATAAAAAAACACTAATATTTTTTTATAAATTAAAATTTTAATATAATTTATTATATTTTAATAGTAGTTTTAATTATAGTTAATACATTACATATATTTTTAAAAATAAAAACTTAAATAAATTTAATAAAAACAAATACTTAAATTTGAATAATAAAAGAAAAATCATGTTCAAAAAATTAAATTTTTGAATATTAATGGTAAATCAGATTTAATATCAAATAATATTTACTTTATTTATTTGATTCAAAATAAAAATAATAAATATTTTCTATTTTCTTATATCATATCATAATATTATATACAGTATGATTTTTCCCGTTCATAATACTTTTTAAATAAATTCATAAAAATTATTCTTCATTGATTGAATTATTTTTATAAGACTAAAGTCACCTCATCCAAAGATTTCATATGCTGAATAATTACATTAGTACTATTAATTTTTTATTCCTTATTTGACAACCTTCTTTATTAAATATTTTTTATTCTTTTCTCTATGCCTATAAACTTGACCGTCTCCTTCATTAAATAGGAGGTTTTTTAATTATTATTTATATTATTCTTTTTAATTAATATTTTTATATTTATTAATCTTTATACATGTAATAAGTTTTTTAACTATTAGTCCTATATTTAATAATCTTTAAGATTTGAAATAAGTTTTTTAATTATTTATTATTATTATTATTATTTTTAATTATTATTTCTATCATTTAAATAGGACAACAACTAAAATGAGAAAAAAAATAATTTTTTAAAAGTTTCTTTACATGTAAAATATATATATATATTACAAATTCTTTTATAATTTAACTAAATTAAAATTGTGCATATAATTTGAAAAGTTAAATTAATTTTAAAAAATAAAATATTATATTATGATTATAAATTTAAAATAAATAAAATGAATTTTAATTATATTTTTTTTAAACTGTGGTTTTACATCTAAGTAGAAAGAGATAAATTTTAAATTTAATTGATAAAAATATATAAATATCATTATTTACATGCCTTATATATTTAAAAAGGATAATTGTAAATTTAATCGCCGGTCTCTATCTGGGACACACCTTTGTGAGAGACACACCACTTGTCCATCTAAAACCTTAAGGTGATAGATGAGTGAGTTCTCTCATATATAAGTGCTCAATCTTCCCTTTAATAATCAATGTGAGACTTCTTCCTCACACTTGATTCTCAACAAATTCAATCCACATCTGCCGAAAAAGAATTGATTTTGTAATGATTCTAAATACTAGTAAGAAATCCGTGTTGTTGAACGTGTCCCGTTTGGATTCATATTGCAGGTATCAATGAGTTAATCGTTAAGTATGACATCATGTTTTATGTTGAATAATATTAACATAGTTATAACTTATAATCACTTATCAAATTTTAATTCATGTGTTTAGAGTATCAAACAAAATATAAATTATTTTACAGTTTATAAATATTCACGTAGTTTCAATCATATACTAATAATATATACAACTTTTAAGCATTGATTCGTATTTATAATAAATTCTACAACTATTTTTATAACTTCAATTATATAAAACAACAACAAAAAAAAATAGTTAAAAGATAGACATTAAAATGATAAGTCAATAGCTGATATCTCATAAATACGTTCACATCTACTCATCAATTCAGATGAGTTAACAAACTCCAATTGAATTTAAATGAGTTAATTCTAAAAATTTATTGAATTTATTTTAGATATTAACCCATTTTTCTAAACCTAAAATGTATGACAACTCCGTTAAATGCTTAAAAGTTTCTAAGTAATAATTACCATTAATAATATATATTATTTTCTATATTTTTATAAAGAGACAAAACTTACTTTTAATGCGGTGATAAAACTTTATGTTATGTGTTCTAATTAAATAAAATGATAATACATAATTATAGAAATATAAAAAGAATGATAAATTTATCTTTTTCATAACAAATTTATATATTTTCTATTATAATTGTCTCAGGTTCTTTTATCATACACAAATATTTATAATATTTTTTTAGTATAAATGATAACGTTTGAACATAAAAACAATAACATTTTTTTATAAATTAAAATTTTAATATAATTAATTATATTTTAATAGTAGTTTTAGTCATAATTAATATATTAATAATTTTTTTTTACACATATTACTAAAATTAAAAAAAACTTTTTTATATTAATCATGATTCTAAAATGTTTCCTATATGTAATTGTGCTGTAACTTTTCGATACTTTTTTGTCCAAACTATTTTTGTTGTTACGAATTGTTTTTATTTCCTCTAGATTCACATTACACGTCAGTAAATTATCATTTGTAAAGTTTGAATTTATTTTTCAATTGATTAACATTCACATAGTTATAAATATAGACGAATAATATGTATTTGCTTTTAAAGCATTGATCCGTACTTATAATAAATCATACAACATATTCTCTAACTTCAATTATATTAAACATCAACAAAAAAAATTTAAAAGATGAAAATTAAAATGAACAGTCTACAACTGATATTTCATAGATACGTTCACATCTACCCATGAATCGAGATTAGTTAAGAAAGAATCGAAATGAGTTAATTCTAAAATTTTATTAAACCTATTTTAGATTTACAAATCTAAAATGTATGACACTACCCCGTCATGATTTATTTTCTATATTTTTATAAAGAGACAAAACTTATTTTTGGTGCGGTGATAAAACTTAATGTTATTGCACGGATCCTGTCTGAATTCATATTACACGTCTATTAGACTATCATTTATAAAGTATGAATTCATTATTCAATTGATTAACATTCACGTAGTTACAAATATAGGCAAATAATATACATTAACTTTTAAATATTGATTCGTAATTATAATAAACCGTACATCTGATTCTCTAATTTCAATTATATAAATAGTAACAAAAAAAGATTTAGAGATGGACATTAAAATAAACAGTTTACAACTGACATCTCATAGATATATTCACATCCACCCGCTTTGACATACATAGTACACGTTATTCATAGTAGACTTTTTGAATTGAAAATAACATTTATAACTTATTTCCATTTACAAAAATAATTGTATTAACAATAAATTTTTCTTGTTTATAAAAATATTTTTAAGTTATTCCCGATTATTAAAAAAAAATTGTATCAACAATATTCTTTTCCCGTTCATATAAATATTTATAACTTATTTCCGTTTAAAAATATATTTGTATGAACAGTAAAGCTTTATCATTTATAAAAATAATTGTCTGAACATAACTTAATGAAGACATATATCAAATTATATATTGATAGTTTGAGATTGTAAAAACACCAACAGTACAAAATTTTCTCGTTTATAAAAAGAATGATATCAATGCTAGACCTTTTTCCGTTTATAAAAAGATTTGAAATTTATTCCTATTTATAAAAATAACTTTTCCGTTTATAAAAAAATATTTGCGACTTATTCTCGTTTATAAATATAATTGTATCAACAATACAATTTTTTCGTTTATAATTTATTTCTAACTTATTCCGGTTTAGTAAAAATAATCGTTGTCATTTATAAAAATATTATAACTTATTCCGATTTATTAAAAATAATCATTGTCGTGTATAAAAATATTATAACTATTACCGTTTATAAAAAAAATAATTGTTGAATAAAATGACCCGTGAAACAAATTGTGTGTGTAGACTACATTACAAGAAAAAATTATCTTAGCTGCTAATCAACTATTGCTCAAGCGCAAATCAAAGCCCAATCATATATCTTATGTAAGACCGTTCATTCTACTTAAAAAAATATTGAATGAATTTAACTAAAATATAGAAATATCAATAAATAAGTTTTGGAGTAAAATTGAACTCATTAAATAAATGATTTAGTTGGCATGACATCAGTTATAATGTGAAACCAACATCTACAAAATTCATAAGGAGAAAAAAAAGTCAACATTAGATTTGAATGAAACCTAAAACCCAGATGATGTTGCATAGTTTGTGCAATGAAGTTGACTGATTGTAAGTGACAAATAAGCTGGTAAAACAGGATCTACAAGAGTTCCACCTGGCAGCATTAAAGTTAAATAAAGTAGTTGCAAGAGTTCTCCAAGTGGAGAACATTACGTAGAAGCAACGGTTCTTATATTAAAAAAATAATATAAATTAATTAGCTGTTGCATAACGGTTCTTTTTTTTTTGTTTTTATTTTATTTTAATAATTTATTTCTTTATAAATATGATAAAGTGATAAGTTGTATACTCAAATTTGCTCTCATAATTTTATTTCTTTCTCTCAATTTATTCTCATAATTTTATTTATTTCTCACAATTTACTCTCATAATTTTATTTCTTTCTCACAATATCATCTTCCTACTTTAAATTAAAATTGTTTAGGCCAAATGGATCCTAATCATTTTCATTATCAACAAGCTATGTTCAATTACATGTCAAATTATCAAAATCCTAATCCTCAAAATTCTCAATTTCCATCTGTGCCAACAAACCCCGCCATATTTTTTCCGGAAACACCGATTGGGTTTATGTCCGGATGTCAAGTTCCACCAGTTTCTACTCCAGTTGGTACTGAAAAAGAAGAAAGGGTTGTCGTTAAAAAAAAATCTCGAGAGCAATTTACAAGGGATGAAGATATATTGCTTATCCAATCATGGCTCAATGTTTCAAAGGATCCAATTGTGGGAGTTTATCAAAAAGCTGAGAGTTTTTGGTTAAGAATCGCAGCCAATTATAACCAGTATCGTGGGCAATCGCGGGAAAAGTTAGGCGGGCAATTAAAATGTCGATGGCATCGAATAAATGGCTTGGTTCAAAAATTTGTTGGGTGTTACAAACAAGCTGTTAATGGAAAAAAAATGGGAGATCGGAGAACAATATCATGGTTGCTGCACATGCTTTTTTTGCTCAGGATGAAGGTACAACATTCAATCTTGAGTATGTATGGCGATTGTTAAAAGATGAACCTAAATGGATGGGAGAATCGATTGGAAATTCTTCAAAAATTACAAAGAGCTCTGCTAGTGGGGCATCATCGGATAACCCAAATACACCTTCAAGTTATGAGTTTAACTCATCATCACCAATGGAGCGTCCAATGGGACAAAAAGCAGCAAAAAGGAAGGGTAAGGCAAAGGAAATTCCAAATGCAATGCAAGATGCAAGGATTAAAAGAGCAGCAGCAATGGAAAGACTAGCTCAATGTAAGGAGGACGAGCTAGAACTAAAGGCGATGAATATCATCATGAAAGACACTTCTACTATGAATGATAATCAACGAGATATTCATGAAAAATATTGTAATAAGATGAAGAAAAAATATGGAATGTAGTTAGTATCATTGATAAAATGGTCATTAGTACCACTTTAATTTATCAACACCTATGTAAAATGGTCATTAGTACCACTTTAATTTATCAACACCTATGTAAAATGGTCATTAGTACCACTTTAAATTATAATAAATATTATGTTATTCAAACTAGTCGTTATTCAAACTAGCCGTTATTCAAACTATCCTTTATTCAAACTAGCCGTTATTCAAACTATCCTTTATTCAAATTAGCCGTTATTCAAACTATCCTTTATTCAAACTAGCCGTTATTCAAACTAGCCGTTATTCAAACTATCCTTTATTCAAACTAGCCGTTATTCAAACTAGCCGTTATTCAAACTAGCCGTTATTCAAACCATTATATATACTATCACTTATGTCATTGTTTTCCCATTCTCATCTTATTCTTCTATCATACTTCTCTAATTCTTCTCTCATTTTTCTATCATTCTTAATTCACTAAAATGGATTCAGACAATTCAGATGATTTTGACCAAGAATTTTGGGAGTTGATTGAAGAAGAATTTATCGACGATAGTGATGAAGAACAATTGCTTGAAAATGAACGTCAATCTGGAAGTTCATCTATGCCAAAGAGAAGAACAATGGTAGATCGTAGTCGTGAAGAAGGGCACAATCGATTATTCAATGACTACTTCTCGGAAAACCCAGTATACACAGATGTTCAATTCCGAAGAAGGTTCAGAATGCATAGGCATGTATTTCTTCGAATTGTAGATGCCCTTGGAAATCATGATGAATATTTCCAAATGAGGGTTGATGCAACTGGTAAAATGGGTCTTTCACCATTGCAGAAATGTACATCTGATATTCGTATGTTGGCGTATGGGTCTCCTGCTGACGTTGTAGACGAATATGTTCGAATAGGTGAAAGCACTTCAATTGAGTGCTTACAAAGATTCGTTCGGGGCGTGAACGTTGTATTTGAGGCTGAGTATTTGAGAAAGCCTAACAACACTGATGTTGAACATCTTTTACAAATGGGAGAGTCACGTGGCTTTCCAGGTATGTTGGGTTCCATTGATTGTATGCATTGGGAGTGGAAAAATTGTCCTGTTGTATGGAAAGGACAATTTTGTCGAGGTGATCATGGAAAGCCCACAATCATGCTTGAAGGAGTGGCATCACAGGACTTATGGATTTGGCATGCTTTTTTTGGTATTGCTAGTTCAAACAATGACATTAATGTGTTAAACCAATCCAACATGTTTAACGATATTTTGGAAGGACATGCCCCCAATGTGTAATATACAATCAATGGAACACCATATAATATGGGGTATTATTTAGCCGATGGTATATATCCTGAATGGGCTACATTTGTGAAGACCATTTCAATGCCACAAGGAGAGAAGAAAAAATTATTTGCTCAACATCAAGAATCAGCTAGAAAAGATGTGGAGAGGGCATTGGAGTGCTTCAATCTCGATTTGCAATTATACGTGGTCCAGCGCGTGCCTGGCACATGGACACCCTCAAACATACCATATATGCGTGCATCATATTGCACAACATGATTGTTGAAGATGAACGACATACATATGAAGGTAATTTTGATTACTCTTATGATAATGTGGATAACAATCACTCAACAACTGAAACATTTAGCGGTCCTCATCCGAATCTTGCAACAAGACTACAAAGAAGAGCAAATATTCGTGAAAAACAAGTTCATCGTCAACTTGAAGGAGATCTAGTCGAGTATATTTGGGAACGTTTTGGACATGAAGATGATGAAATTTAAGTTTGATTAATTTATGTGATGTTATTTATTTTTATTGTTTTTAATTATATGTAATGTATTTGAAATTAATTTTAATTATCATTTTAAATTATAAGTTTAATTTGAATTTTATTTATTTTATATAAATTTTAATTTAAATAATTAAAATTATTATTTTAAATGATATAGAATTTAATATGAATAAAATATTAATATATAAAGTAAAGTTGTGGGACCCATTATGAGTTCTTTAGAGTTGAACCATTAGAGTGAAAAACTAGTTGGGTTACTTCAAGCTGACGTGGCTTAATGGGTCCCGCAAAGAACTCAAAATTGAGTTGCACCATTGGAGATGCTCTAAGAACATTGGAGCTAAAAATCCTATTATATGACAAATTTCATTGGCCAGATGCAAGAGTACTGAAGAATTATAAGAACAGAGACAACACATATTGATTGCAGTTATGGTATATTATATACCTTGTGGAACTTATCAACACGAATTAAAGCTTTCATGAGCGTAGTATAAGTAACTACATCAGATTTGACACCATGTAGTACACAAATAAATAAATAACATATAACTTAAGGTCTTTTGCCTGAAAAAGAGGGAGGGAGAAAATATAGTAAAAAACATACATTATCTTTTATGTACTGCAGTACGACAAATGCTTCAACATCTCTTTCATCTTCACCAAAAGCATTGATTAAGGAATTAAGGGCTGAAAGACTAGGAGTAAGACCCTCAGCTGACATCCTCCTAAATGCATTTACCGCTTGATTAGAAAGATTCTGCCCAAATTCATGCAAAATATTACTAAAATTACTAACTAACCAATCCACTCATCAAATAAGTTAAGATGAGATATTTTAGGTACAAATATGGTGCATTTCCGTTCAAAACATGAAGAGAAAAAGTGAAGAAAACATGAAAAAAAGAGTAGTACTTTTAGTTTGGCCTCAGGTTTCAACTACTTCATGAGAGTGTAGTACTTTTAGACCAGACCCTATATAACATAATTCAGAAAGACCCTGCCCAAATTCATGCAAAGTATTACTAAAATTACTAACTAACCAATCTACTCATCAAATAAGTTAAGATGAGATATTTTAGATAAAATTATGGTGCGTTGCTGTACAAAACATGAAGAAAAAAAGTGAAGAAAACATGAAAAAAAAGTTTGGCCTCAAGTTTCAACTACTTCATAAGAGTATAGTACTTTTAGACCAGACCCTACATAATATAATTCAATTGAATTCAGCTTTCGCTGTTCTTAGCATGCCAAGTACCCAAGAGGATAAGACACACTTTTTCACATTGATACAAATTTGGATTTAGCCTTAGGCCACCTGAGTGATAGTGAACTTTCTGTAGGAAATAAGTTGAGTTTATATTATACACAACACAAGAGAAATCTGAAAACTCGTTTAACATTAATGGATACATACTGGTGGATCTGTGAGATATGAAGAAGGAAATAAGAAATCGAAAAAGAAAAGGCCATCATGGTATGGAGTGCCTTGAGGTCTGATGATGACAGCTCTAAGAAGCTCCATTTTAGATTCATAAACTCTCACAAAGATTGTTTATGTAAAACAAAAAGTAAATTATGAGATACATATTCCAGCAAAGATGATAGAACATGAAACTGAATTACCATAAGATTGAATATCATGTTTCACTACAGACAATGGTAATTGTTTGGATCATGCAAAATGATAAGGCAAAGGAGAAGACACTTTCAAAATACATCGTCTTCAAGACAATCGTCCTCGTTCAAAAATATATCCAAGAAAGGAAAAAATTTGTATACCTTTTTGAGAGATATTTTCTTCGTGGAATGTTTGAGCTTATGGTGAAGCAAAAATATATCCTCTAAATGGAACACATGAATTGAAGTAAATCAAATAGAGAACAGGTAACATAGACAATAAAATTGCTTGACATAAGAAGAAAATTAGGGTTTGTCATTGCTCTGTTTTGTAGATCGAGTTCATCTGTGTCCGATTCTCAAGGAATGCATACAACATAGTGAACATATAATATGAATTTTCAAGGGTGGTAGGAGTTGTAAATTGGGCTAGCTTTTAAGTTTCCAAGGGCATATTCGTTTGAATATAAATGCTTAGATTAAATAAACTATGGAATAAAAATAATTTAAAATGCAACAAAATTTTTAAGTGAGACACATCAACGATATTTAATGTCAAATCACTAAAAATCTAGCATTATTCAAAAAGACAAATTTACCCTTACCGTTAATGAAATTAAAGAATTTAATCAAAAGGTTAGTAGTATCATTACAAGTTTATATATTTATATTAAATTAAAAAAAATTAAAAATAGTAATTAATCATATACGAAAAAGAAATTATAATAGTTAAATTTATTTTTTTATTTTTTTTACCATAACAATTTAAAAGGATAATTAGAAATTCAATCGTGATCTCCTCGTAATCTAAATTAGTATAAAAATTTTATTAAATTTATCAAAGTTTGATCTTATTACTGTTACTAAATATTTAAAAATATAAATTAAAAGAGAAATTAAAAATTTATGAAAAGAATATATATATATATATATATATATATATATATATATATATATATATATATATATATATATATATATATATATATATATATATATATAATGAGCAATTATTGAATACCAATTTACAAAGTCTCAAGCCACCCAAGAGCAATTACTGGACTGGGTCTTGCTTGCAACTTAGGCCCAATTGGTCTCTCAATTCATCTCTCATAAAAAAACTTAATGAAAATTAAAGAAAAGTGATGTCAGTACCGCATTTAATAGTTCCAATACCACAATAATCTTTCATTAAATATTCTGAAAAAACATTAAAAGAGAAAAACAATAATGATCTCTCTGCCTATGCTTCTCTCATCAACATTTTCAATGCTCTCTCATCTTTCTCTTACAGGGAAAATTGAAAACTGAAGCCCTTATGATTCTCTTCTTTCTCTCTCGATCTATCATCCAAATAGTGTAACAAAGTTCTAGCAATTACAAAAAAACAATCAAACAATAAAAAGGATTAGCAAAAGCAAACAAATCGAAATCCTTTCTCTTCCGTATCCCAATACGTGTATTTCACCAATTTGAAATGATTAACAAACTACAACCACAAATTAAATATATGAAATGAATGCTTTCAAATGAAGGGCCATATTTCACCAATTTGAAATATTAACAAACTACAGCTACAAATTAAATATACTAAATGGATG